ACAAACAGAAGCGAACGGACAAACCACAGGACAAAATGACATGCCTGAGCTATTTCCACCTATTGTTGGAAATTCGCCGACTGATGGTATATGTCCTGCTCCGAAGGTGCATCTTGATCTTACTCCGAAGGGTGCAAGGTACCACATTCGAACGTACCATCGCGAAGTTGCTTCAGCGGCCGAGCGAGTGATCGAAGCGGAGGACCGGTTGCTTGAATCCGGCGTGCAATGGGACGATCTAAAAGACTTTTATCGAGGAAAGGAGGGCGATGATGGGGTACCTCGATTCGCACTTTTCTCGATATGGCGACCCCTGAAGCCAGTCCATCGTGACCCTCTTGCTTTAGCATCCTGCGCTTCTTTTCCTGAATCTGATTATGTGCCTTCTGAGCAACTTGAGCCCATGGATCACCAGATTCCTGATCATCTGTCGCGCATAATTGATCCCAATGCCCCGAACTTGCACGTCGACAAGGAGCGACAGGTTCAAGATGGAACATGCCAAACTTATGGCTATCTGGCTTACGGACCACGGGACAAGGAACAAAAGGCGCATGACTGGCACTTCATTTCAGACCAACAACCTTCTGACATCTTGATAATCCAACTGTTTGACAACGAGATGGAGGCGCATGCAAGAGCACCACGAGAAGGGAGCAATGAGATGTCGAGTCTCGGAGTTGGTGGAGCCATTCATAGTGCATTTGAGTTGGACGGCCAGGATATAGATGCTGAAGCTCGGGAAAGTATCGAGGTACGATGTGCAGCATTTTGGTGAAGATCTCGAAATTCAAATATGGTTGTCTCTCTTGATCTGTACTTAGTATGGTATAGCTAGCTGGGGGTGTTTGATGACGAAGCGTTGAAATAATAAACAGTTAGGGTAGCATTGAATCCAAATCACTTGCCTTTCTCAACATAAGAGTTTACGTATTCTGTCGATCAGTCGCCAGTAAAAACCGAGTGACGTACTCTAGTCAAACCACGCGTCCTTATACGTATCAAAGTGATGATTAATTCACGTTGAGAGCCTTTGTTTTCCGGTTTACTGCTTTGCCTCCCCTGAATCATAAACACCAGGAAGCAGCACTTGAAATGCCTCGACTCTTATCTTGAAGAGGTGCCCCCTTTTATACACTCGTAAATCTTACAGATCTCTGGCCCTTGGAATGCATTAGAAATATCCTTCATAGGAATGACAGCCAATTTCAACAATGAACTCTTTTTTTTACTGGTTAAATAACCAGGGTTTCCTAACAAGATACTATAGTTATGTGCTACCCTCAATTCGGCAGGGTACCAGCTGGCTTGACTCCGAAGCGCTTCCCTAGAACAATAAACTGGGCAACGGTAATCATGCGGCGGAGTGCCATGGGTTCCTGCTTGGTGAAAGCTTTTTCAACGGCATCTTCTGTGGCATCCCAGTCCACAAAGCCCAGGCTTTCCACGTTTTCCTTCGTGACCAGCTGCTTGATTTTTCGGTGCAACGGTCCACCAGGCCAGAATTTTCTCGGGCCCATGTAGGCTTTCTTGCTGATATTGTAAATCTCGTCGGTAACGTAAGGCCTCATAGCTTCCCGAAGAATGTACTTTTCACGGAACGATCTCTCTTCCGGGAGATACTTCAGCTTCAAACTCGGTGGCACATTGTTAACATATTCGGTCAGATGATGATCCAGGAAGGGGCAACGGCTTTCAACTTGATTGACCATGTCAATATTGTCCCCATTATACCGCAAGATGAAATGAGGCATAAAAGACTTTGTGAATAGGTATTGAGCAGTGTGAAGGGGGTGCCAGCGCTTTGTTATATTGTCGCGGACACGCCCATCAAACCCTTCAATGAGACTAGTCTCCGGTAAATCATTCCCGTAAGAGCTCGTCCAATCGGAGAATGGCAGACTGCCAACTCTTGCGATGGTGCTGGTGACATGGCTGTGGTTCAGCATGCGCTTTGTCGCATCTGGAACAGTCTCACTGTACTCGCCAAAAATACCGTATTTGACTTGTTTTGCAGCCATAGCCAGTGCTTCCTGGCGGTCGGTCTCGGCTAGTTGTAGCGCTGGCCATGAATGATCAGGCTCACTAAGCGAATCGGCCCGGAACGCATCGTAGCCCGCAAAATGCTCATCAGAGCCCTCCCCTGCGAGAACATTAGCGACGCCACGTCAACTAACAGAGTCATACTTATGCTTCTGTTAGAAAAGATTACTCACCAGTAATCACGACCTTGATACCCTGGGAGTGTACCGCTTCTGCCAGTGCCAGCCGACCCATTCCGTTGAGGTCGGGGAGAGGGATTTCACTGTGCCAAACGGCGTCCTCAAAGCGTGACGCGAGAGCCTGTTCGTCCATTTTGACGAGATGGATATCGACACCCAGCCATTCCGCTGTGCGCCTAGCAATCGCTGGAACTTGTCAGCAATGGAGCACTGAATGTTGTGTGGTGTGGGTAGACATACCTGACTCATCTGCGCCGCTATCCTCATCGAACTGAACGGTAAAGCATTTCATGTTTGACGGGACTGAGTTAGGCTCGTTACCTAACTTTGTCCCCTGTTTCATGAGATCAGCCACCATTCCAGCAACAGACGATGAGTCTATTCCACCACTGAGGTAGATAGCTACGGGAACATCCGCCTTCAGCCGGATTTTCACAGCCTCCAGAAGGCGCTTTCGCACTCCTTGCACAATTTCCTCTTCCGATCGCCCATCATGGGAGAACTAGAGAACGTTAATCGCTAGTGAAGGTTACTAGGAAAGGGGTTGACACGTCTTACTTTATCGGGATACTCAAGATCCCAGTATGGCTTTTGTTCTTCTTTCTCATTGGGGCGACTTATCAGATAGTGTCCTGGGAGAACCTATCATGTTTTAGAAGAGGCCCATCAATTGGCAGATATGTGATCGAGATAGACTCACTCTGTGAACGCCTTTAAAGAAAGTGCGAGATTCAATTCTCCAGCTCTGGTCTCTCAATGTTTGAACACACCATTCCGGTTGTAATCCAAATGCCAAGAAAGATTTGATCTCTGTTGCCACCAATAACTTGCCTTGGACCACTGTATAATAGAGTGATTTGATTCCATATCGGTCTCTAGCTGCTATAAGTAATTGGCGGTTCGCATCCCAGAGCACGAAAGCAAACTCGCCCCTCAAATGAGAAATAAAAGAGAGGCCGTAATGTTTGTACAAGGCAATCACGATTTCGCAGTCGCTGGTTCCCGCAAACTGGAATTCGCCGGCTAACTGGTCTCGATAATATTCGTGGTCATACAGCTCACCATTCACAACGGCGTGGATGCTGTTGTCTTGATCGTGAAATGGTTGGTTTCCACTGGGGCTGAGATCGATGATTGACAATCGAACATGACCAAGGCCTATTGAGAAGATTTGAGTATCTATCTATGTCTAAGCAGTAGTAGAGGATGACGAGACCTACCAATTTTGTGATCGTCACTAAACCAACGCCCACGAGCATCTGGCCCACGATGGCCAACAAGATCCAGACTATGCTCCAATTCATCTACCACATGGCGGGCTTGGGCGTTGGTCTGCTCATTTGAGCTAGCCTTTCCAGGGCGACACAGAAACGCACTTATTCCACACATAGTTACCGAAGTTGAGATGAATGAAGGCAAAACTCATGACTGAAGGGCAACCTTGGAAATTGGCCTTTTATCATACGTGTAAATTTCACTTGGAGATCTGTTGAATCGGTCTGGTATTGACTAGTATCGTAAGTGTGTCAATTTACGGAATGCTCGTATTACCAGCGGGGTGGCGGTCCCCTTCCCCGATGTCGGCCGGCTTCGGGGGGCGCCGTCGCCGAAACCCTAAACTCATTGCGACTATTGAACGCCATTGTTTTTAGATTAATGACCGATACGGAAGACAGAACTAACAGCTTGGATGCGTCCAGGATTTCGTCGAGATTTTAAGCCAGCGTGTGTCTACATGTGGCTGCTTGATCGGTGGGATCCGTCTATTGTTCCCATGTATATCTTGACTGCAAGGTGATAGATTATGAGTATCACCCTCACCTTGCATCAGTTCATGTTTTTATTATGGACAGTTCTCTTGACCTATTACCCTCTAGATAATTTATACAAGTACCATGAGTGGGGGTGAAAAAAATCGTTATAATTTCTAAAATACATTCGAGTCTCGAGCCTATACGGCACGAATGAGTATTTTTTGAGGCTGATACCAGTTCTCGATGTATATTACGTTGACGCACGGAGATCATGAAAGCCTGAAATCTTTAAAAATTACTGTCCGGTCAGAATACTACTTGTTACATGCGGCTTAGTACAACGGGCCCTGAGGCTGATGCATGCTTGCTTCTGATAGTCTCGGCACGTCGTAATGCACCATGGCATATTGAGGGCAATTAGCTCGGATATAGTCAAAAGCAGTTCCGGGATACCACGAAGCTCCGCTGGCATAATCCTTCAAACGCTAAAAGAGTATCCCGAACTGGAACGCGGCATATTGACACCACATCGAGTGGCGACATGCCACAGTAAGATCGTACGGCGACAAATCATCGCATAGAAAAATCACATCATCTACCGCGGACACCGTCCGGCTTGGCTTCATGTATGAGTAGTGGATCGTGAAGATGCCTAGATCAGGCGCCCTGGCTATGTTGTGAAGAAATAATCCTTGTCAAAGATCTTCAATAGATTCCGGTGTAGTATGCATGTCTCAGAACGCAGGCACTCCACATGATGGAGGCAGTGCATTTGCCTATCCCGGAAAGCACGGAAGTGGTGTATGTCGGGGAATAGCCACTCGTCTAGTGCTTATTGGGGGGGTTGTATCAATTCCCTCGCTACGGAGCAAGAAGCACCCGGGAAAGGAAATAGGGTTGAGTAGGCTCATAAACAGCTGTGTGCAACGAGGATCGATGCCAATTATTTACTCGCTCGTATAGATCCTCCAACCTCTCTTGTTAGTGATCAATCAAGCAACTTCTATCTCGAAAGTCACTCCCCATGGCTGCCCCATCGATATTACCGTTATTTGCCCCACAAGTTGGGGTTCAGCGGGAATTCCAAGGCAGCGAAACGCAAATATCCACGGTCAATGTCCCATGCACAGGCCTAAGTAACACGTCTCTTGCCAATTGGCTACAAGCGGAGCACAGAAATCAATTGGAACTTCTTCAGGCTGCATGGTCAATCTCGCTTCGGTCTTATACTGGCTCCAACGACGTCTTGTTTAGCTGCCTGGATTCGAAAGAGTATGTAGCCCAGGGTAGGCCTCCGTGAGTTATGACTGACACTTAAAAATGCAGAAGGTGCTACTGCCATGTTTCACCCTCAGAGTCAGTGCGAAGCCTCTTCAATATACGCCGCGTGGAGTTGCACGAGGGAAATAGCACAGCTGGTCTGGGAGCCAACTCTGTCGTCTATGTTGATGAAGAAAATAAAGACAAAAGTGACAGTACGAGACTTGATGACCTCAGAGAAGTAAGTATTTATCCCGTAGTAGGGGAACAAAAATCTGTGATCTTGACAGTTAAATATAGTTCGATCTCGCGGTCTATTTCTCGCAAGGGACAGAGACGAATTGCCCTGTCGTTGGGATTCACCACAAACCATCAGTTATATCAACTGAATTGGCTACAATGATTGCAGCAACAGTGGCAAAGGCCATCGAGGAAGTCGTTTGCCACGTTGATTGTCTGATTGAGGCCCTCGATATATGTAGTGATGCAGACATCAACTGTATTTCTCACTGGAACAGGACATCAGACGATGGAATACCTTTTGCACAGTGCATACATCACATCATCTCCCAAAAGTGTGCGACGCAGCAAGAATCCATTGCTGTGTCAGCTTGGGATGGAGAACTTACCTATGCAGAGTTGGACAGCCTGTCCTCAGCTCTGGCAATACGGCTTCAACACCTGGGGGTTCGGCCAGAAGTCTTCGTCCCTCTTATTTTTGACAAATCCAAATGGGCAGTCATCGCCCTGTTAGGTGTCCTGAAAGCTGGCGGCGCTTATTTCTTTCTCAATCCTTCCAATCCAATACAATATAACCTCGGCTTATGCTCATCTCTGTCTCCAGGGATTGCGCTATGCTCACCAAGGCATAGCACACTTGCCAAATCCCTCGCTGGCAAGGTCGCCCCAGTCGGAGGAGAGCCGTGTGGACTTCTGGAGTCATTACCTGTCAATAAAAAGAACCCACTATGCACAGCGGAAACAGGCCCATCAAACGCCATGTATATCACTTTCACTTCTGGAACCACTGGTATGTCGAAAGGCATAACCACTGAACATTCTGCCTTTTACTCAATGGCCATGGCCAATGGTAAAGCGCTTCAAGTCAGCCCTACGACGAGGATGTTACAGTTCGCATCGTACACATTCGATGTGAGCAATCGCGATATGCTTATTACACTCATGTTTGGCGGATGCATCTGCATCCCTTCCGAGCTAGATCGTCTCAATGACCTCTCTGGATTCATAAATCGCCACTCTGTCAATTTAGCGAGCTTGACGCCGTCTTTGGCAAGTACTCTGACTCCTGCTTTATGTCCGAGCATTCAAGGATTGGTTCTAGGAGGAGAGCCTATGAATGATAGCCATATTTCTGCGTGGGCCAAACACGTGCGGCTTTTCAATGCCTATGGGGTGAGCGAAAGCGCCGGAATAGCAGCTTTGGCATCTGATATCCAAGCAGGCTGCTCCCCAGGCAACATAGGCTTTGGGTCTGGATCGACTTTATGGGTCGTCGCCAGTGACCAACCCGACAAACTGGCACCCATTGGCGCCCTGGGAGAATTGGTCATTGAGGGTCCATCTGTTGCACGTGGCTATTTAGGCGACAAAACGCGAACTGAGAAGCAGTTCACGACAACGCCAAAGTGGAAGAATAGGATTCGCGAGCAATTTGGCGAGAGTTATCCGTCGAAGCGGGCATTCCACACAGGCGATTTGGTGCGTTACAATCTTGACGGTTCTCTGAATTTCGTGGGAAGAAAAGATCATCAAGTGAAAATCAACGGGCAGCGACTTGAATTGACGGCAATTGAACGTCACATAGCAGCATGCGTCGAAGTCGCCAAGTCCGGCTTCCTTCATATTGCCGTCGTGACCGTCAAGAATGAGGCAAATGGCTCCATTAAGCTTCTCGCCTTTCTGGGGGTTGATACGTCTAGAGGATCGGATACTCCGTCTCAATTGGTGTCAAAGAAGTTGAATGATGTGGAAGCCCTGAAAGCAGCTCTCAAACGATACCTTCTGCATTGCTTGCCGACATTCATGGTTCCAGTAGATTTCGTATTTCTGCAAAACATGCCACTCACAACATCAGGCAAAATCAATCGGCTCCTTCTACAGGAAGCGGCCGCACATGCGCTTCTTGATGACCAGAAGAGGAATATTGATGCACCTGATTCAAATGGCAACCAGATGGCAACCACGCCACAACAGAGAGTTCTGATCCAATCTTGGGCCAAGGCTCTGGGTATTGAAGATGCAAGCATCACGTGCGACGACTGCTTCTTTCGGCGTGGTGGTGATTCCATTGCAGCAATCAAAATGGCAGGCAGCCTTCGTCAGCAAGGTTTTATCATATCGGTGTCTGATATCTTCAATTTTTCCACCTTGTCGGACATGGCGTCAGTGCTAGTAGAAGACCACAAGCCTTTGTCAGAAGCAGCGCCTGCCTCTTTTTCATTGATAGGCAACTCCCAGACCCTTCTCGACGCGATTGTGGAGGAACTTGGTACAGGCATTGGCCAGATCGAGGACGTGTACCCATGCACTCACATGCAGCGAGGGTTAATAGCCCTGACAGCTCAACACCCGCATGCATATATTGGCAGCTACATCTGGCAGTTGGCCGAAATGCTTGACGTGGAGAAATTTAAGGATGCATGGAAGGGAGCTTGGCTCCACAATCCGATTCTTCGAACCAGAATTGTGCAAATACCAGATGGTGTCTTTCAGGTCGTCATGAAGACTGATATGCCGTGGAAAACCGTCACTGATATCACTGGTCGTGGAGATGGGAAAGAATTGAGAGCAATTGACATCAATCACGGCCCACTTATCCAGTTTTATTTCAGCAAAGAAGCTTTCCGGCTGGATATTCATCATTCTTTGTTTGATGAATGGTCCCTTGGCCTCATAATGGGACAAGTTGAGCGCGCATACCTCGGGGGAGAACTTCATACTCAGCCATTCAGTCCATTCGTTCACCACCTTCTCCATGAACGTGACACTACTGTGGAGGACTTTTGGCGTCGGGAATTCTCTGGCCTCCAGGCGGAGCATTTCCCAGCTGTTACGTCCAGGCCACTCAACATTGGACATTCGACCGAGAAGGTAGTCCTTGAACATGACCTGCAACTAGGGACCGGATTCTCCACCAAGTATACGCTCTCGTCCATAGTACGGCTTGCGTGGGCGATTGTCCTGTGGCGCCAAACGGGGAGTGAAGACGTGGTGTTTGGAGCCACTGTCAGCGGCCGCAATGCGAACATTGTCGGAATCGACCAACTGAGCGGACCGACCTTGGCGACACTGCCTGTACGCATCAAACTCCCGACGATCCAAACTGTCCACGAGGGTCTCTCGCAGGTTCAAGGCCAATTTGTCAATATGATGGTCCATGAACAGACTGGGTTGTCACGCATTCGACAAGTCGGGAGAGAGGCTGCTGAGGCATGTAACTTCCAGAATCTACTCGTCGTGCAACCATATGAGCAGCAAACAAAGTCTCTTGTGTTTAAAACATCAGCCAACTCAACCTCTTCTGAAAATGCAAAGTCTTTTGCCAGCTACCCGATGGTGCTGATATGCCGTCCAGAAAAGAGTGGAATCTCAATGAAAGCAGCATTTGACCCTGCTATTCTGGCACCCGCCGCTGGGCATAGTATCCTGAAACAGATGTCGCATGTTATCCAGCAGCTTGTGACGTCTGACTCAACACGTATCGCAGATGTTAGCCTGGTACCTCCCGAGGATATGGCTATGTTGAGACAATGGAATCATTTGCTCCCGAACGCTGTGAACACTTGCATCCATGATCGCATTCAAGAATTATGCATTGCCCAACCTGATGCACTTGCTATTCACTCCAAAAATTTGGACTTGACATATGGGCAGCTTGATAATTATTCCAATCAATTCGCACAGCGTTTGATCAGCATCGGGGTCAAGAAGGGTGCGTTTGTACCTCTCTTCTTAGAGAGGTCACCATGGGTTCCAGTTATCATGCTAGCAGTTCTGAAGACTGGCGCTGCCTTTGTGCTACTGGACCTTTCACACCCTATTCAGAGATTGCGAACAATGTGTTCTATGATTGATGCCAGAATCGTGGTAACTTTCAAGGAGCATACCGACATGAGTGGCAACCTTCTACTTCCTGTGATCGTCTTCGACCCCGAGGCCCATGTACAGAACCTTGGTAAACAGGCCACAGCGTCCGAGCTCAAGCCACTGACTGAAGTTGCTGCCCCGGACGCCCCTGCGTGCGTTGTCTTTAGCTCAGGCTCGACCGGACTGCCTAAAGGCATTGTGCTTCCACATATTGCTCTCACCACAAGTGCAGCTGTCATGCGCAATTATGGAATGCTTGGCCCTAGCAGCCGCGTCTTCCATTTCGCCTCCTTCGCGTTTGACATAAGCATCGGTGAGATTCTGTTTACCCTTGCGGCAGGAGCATGTGTCTGTGTTCCCCATGAGGAAGAACGAAAGGGGAATCCGGCGAAATCAGCAGATGATCTCCAAGTAACCTGGGCACTTCTCACCCCCTCAGTAATTAATCTGTTCGAACCATCAGACGTCCCCACTCTGGAAGTCCTGGGGACAGCTGGTGAACCTCTTACTCCACACATAGTCGACACATGGGCTCACAGGGTGAAACTATTCGGCATGTACGCACCGGCAGAATGTACCGTGATCTCTCACATCGGGCGAATTTTGCCCGACACTCACCATTCCAACATTGGTCTAAGCCATGGAGGTGTTTCTTGGGTAGCTGATCCGTCGGATCACAATCGGCTGGTCCCTATCGGCACAGTCGGTGAATTGATCGTCGAAGGCCCTACAGTTTCGTCTGGGTATCTCAACGATCCGGAGAAGACAAACGAAGTCTTCATTACCAGTCCGCCTTGGCTGGACGAAGTCCGTTCCCACTCCGGAAGGATGTACAAAACGGGAGACCTCGTTAGACAGACTACTGACGGCTCACTTGAGTTTGTCGGAAGGAAGGATGATCAGGTAAAGCTGCACGGGCAGAGAGTTGAAGTGGGAGAAGTCGAACATTGCATAAACTCTTCATGCACAGCCATCAGAACCGCTGCTGTTGAGTGTATCAAAATTCGGGAACAAAACAATCGAGTCTCGCTGGTCGCATTTATCAGTCCACAAGCAGATGAAGACTGGGGGCAGTCCTTGAATGACCAGTCATCGGAGGTGGGTCGCTTCGAATCGATTAGTTTTCCCAGCGATCAGTTTTACTCGACGATCGAATCAATGGAAACATCCCTAAGAGAGCTACTTCCGGCATACATGGTCCCGTCCTTCTTCGTGCCGCTTGCAGATGTTCCTCTCAGCTTGTCAGGCAAGGTCAATCGGCGTCTACTCCGGGATCAATTCAACAGCTGGCCGCTAAAGACACTTGAACTATACCAATTGAGACGGAGGGTTGTCCCCATAGAAGAAGTCCCCCTCACTGTGCATGGCCGGGAAGTTCAAGAAATCGTTGGTCAAGCTCTCAATCTGGATCCCAAATCAATCCCCATGAACAGCAACTTCTTTGCCCTCGGGGGAGATTCGATTTCGGCTATGCAGGTCTCCATGCTTGCAAGACGCAGAGGAATGCGCTTGACCGTAGCGGATATCTTCACGCAACAAACTCTCTCAAGAGTAGCGTTGAAGTGCACTACAGATAATGGAGATACCAGCCTGGTCTCTAAGAGTCGGTCTCTCTGTCGCGAGCTATCTGGATCAACCATGAAACCATCACATCGTTGCGAAGTCGCTCGTAACAAACTCCCTGGTCACCTACCGCAAGAGATTGTCGATAACATTGTGGAAGCCCTGCCCGCCACCGAATTCCAAACGATGACACTCCACAACTTCTACAGCCGATATCTCTGGATCTCACTACCTGACGAAGTCAATCAAGAGCATCTACTGAACGCATGCGACCAACTTGTTCAGAAACACTCCGTCTTGCGCACTGTGTTCTACACAAGCGATGACAAGTCGGTTGTACAACTGACCTTGCGCAAGATCCCCATCAGCTTCGTTCATTATTCAAATATCGAAAATCTGGAAAGACATTGCGCAGATGATTCTCTTGCCATGGGGGTACCTATCGATGGCGTGCCAGGATTCCAGGTACAGCTCGTGACCTTGAGAGACTCAGGAATGTATCTCATTCTGCGATTACCCCATGCACTATTCGATGGAGTTTCGCTTGATGTCATTTGCAATGATCTCAGTGCTGCATACAGCGGAAATTTGCTTCCACCTTGTGCTCAATTTTCGGACCATATTCGACATGTGTGGGACAAAAGGACACCCGAAACGTACAATGTATGGAGAGGAGTATTGGGAGAGGCCCCAATGACCAGCTTGAACAACAAATACTTGCGCAATTGGGGCAGTGCCGGTGAAATGGGGAACCCAAACATGGGCACGAATTTGGAAGAGCCAACAGTGGTGACAGCAATAGCGGAGACTTTGCCAATCTCCCCTCCGCCCAATATCACATTGGCGACATTAGTCAAACTGGCATGGGCAATCACTCTCTCTCTATTGTTTACCTCAACCGAAGAAGAGGATGGAGGCTCGAACGATGTTGTTTTTGGCCAGGTCATACATGGCCGAGGACTTGGAATCTCCCACGAGGACCGCATTGTCGGTCCATGCCTCAACATCATCCCGGTGCGAGTACGCTTGCCTCCGCGATCGAATAAACTCGACCTCCTTGGTCAGGTTCAGAAGCAGCACATTCAAACCATGTCTGTTGAGAATCTTGAACTTGGCGAGATCGCCCAGAACTGCACATCTTGGAAGGCTGGAACAAGATTCGGCAGCTTTATCAGGTTCCAAAACTTCGCCAACAACGACTCGACTTGTTCTTTTGATGGATCTGCCCGTGAAACAGGCCTGTACAGCCTTCCGAACCGACCATCTAACACGGCCAACGTGCTTGTTGTCCCTCATGGGCCCACACTCACCATCACCATGACGATTTCCAATCAAGTATTGGATAGAGGGTCTGCAGATTATGTCGCTGGATACTTCAGTGACGTGATTGGAAGCCTGGCAAATGAAGAGACAGTCTGCGAATACCTTGTGTAAATAATTCATATATTTTCTTCGTCCCTGCTGAGGACAAAATACAAAATCGAAGGGATTGCGAGAGTTGGATTTGCGTACTGCCCATGCGCTTACTGAGTGTCACCACCCCTACATATGTAGCAGCATGCACCGGATTTTAGGCCGCGGATGCGAATTTCTCGATCGGGGTGCCGCCGCTTTATGAGGGCGCTCAGGGTCCTGCTCACTGAGTGTCTCACAGCACAGGGTGATTACTCAGTGACCACTTAGTTAACGTAGTTCACGGCCGGGTCGGCCACCCCAGAACACCATATTAAAGGCGATAAACAACAACTTCATATCTCAACAACCGTGTTTATGTGGATAAAATATTGAGTTTTTGCAATCTAGAAACTATTTCTAACCTACTAGTGGAGTACTGAAAGCTGACTTTTAAGTAGCTATTGAAATATATATATTTATATCTCAAATGTCAAAATTACGTGGCGAAATAATAGACTTAATGGCTTATTATCCAGATACGTTATTACTTGTACCTAGGAAAAGCGTATTCTCAAATTTCAACGAAAATAAACATCTGGTGGTTGAAATATTGAGAAATCAAATATGGCATTTAATATGGTGTTTTGGGGTGGCCGGCCCGGCCGTGAATTAACGTAACCCACGGCCGACTGATTGCAATGCGGGTATTCATTGGAACGGTGAATACAGGGCCGGAACTGGCTGTTCTCTATACATTCACGACAGAGTTGTAAGACGATCAATGTTGGATGGCGCTGGCTCACGCGACAATAACCACCTTTTCGGAAGTTTAACAAGCAACGCAAGCAAGTCATATTTACTGCTCCATTATGCTACTCTGCAGCACGCAAATTTCGAGAAGCGTCGAATAAAGTCATTGGGACCAGGTCCACTCGAGATCATCACTTTATTCTCTTTGGTTCTGCTTGGATCTTGACCAGACTGATTCAATCTACATCTTGACTAGCTCATCCAGGACTATCGAATAGGTAAAGTGGTATGAGCCAGGGACTGTTTTTTGACTAACTCCCGGCATTACTAAAAAATAGACTTTAAGGATCAATGAAAATGGTGAAACTGATTTGTTTCAATCGGCCCCGTATGACATAAAAATAAAAATAAAAAATTACAGCAGCTTGTCTAAGATGGTGGTCACCTAGCGCCCATGGTTCGGGCATTGGCGGCTCGCCGCCCTACTCAGCCCTCATTAGCCATGATTAGAAATCACCGATAAGGAGGTTTGTAAGTGTTCAGGTAGTGCGAGGCACCCATGCTCCGATGGTTGTCTCATAATCATGTGCTTCTCCTTTCTCTTCCTTATATCGTTTGACTCACAGAATAAACATTAGAATACTAGTATATTAGCCTTGGGGGAGCTGTATCTCTGTGATAGAATATAATTTTTACAATCTCGATGATAAAATCCTTTTCAAGAGGTAGAGGTAGGACGAAGAAAATTTATCATTAGGCAAGTTAAATGACATTCTAGCGTATAACCACGTTCAAAGAAGCAGCAATTCGAATAATTTCCACTAATTCATTTCCCATCATCCCAGAGAAACGGCATTTGACGATTTACATCTGCTCTATAGAGTCAGTCTCCGAAGTTATCTCACTTGACCTTCTCCGTTTCCTGGAAGGCCACTCTGCTTCCCTATGAATCCTCTCAAACTTCCTAGTTTGCACTCGTAATTCCTGTAAGTCATTGTATCCCTCATCTAATTCCTCATAGAAACTAAGATGTTTCTCAAACTTGACATCGATATCGTCTGCTTCATGTTCGTCCATCTTGAAACGCAAGTTTTGCGCGTATTCTTGAAGCTCTGGGTTGATGGGTCTGTAGTCAATTGGCTGCTTCCCGAGAAGTGCATTTTCGAACCAAAACTCGTCTACTTGGGCGAAGATTTCAGCACTGCACTCGTCGCAAATCTTGTCCCCGAATTCCACTTCACCGGCGCAAATATCGCAGCAGTCGATGCCCCGGTCTTTGCATTCTTTCGCAATAGTTCGCCAGTATCGAACTTCCCGAGTGACAATTTTGTAAATAACAAAGATCCGCCTGGCGATGGCCGAATATATGTATCCAGGTTCCTGCCAGGGGTAATGATTGCGTAAAAAGAGATCCGCGCTTGTCCCGGGCCATGATGAACCTTGGCGAACAGGAGGTCCGCATCCCAGAAATAAAATCCAGTCCACAAATTGAAATCCTTCCGAGAAAATACCATAGGAATTTTGAATATTCCAACGTTTTCCAGCTTTATCCTTTGCGAACCCGCGGAAATTCGGGACCCTATGAATCCGCGAGGTGTGATAGACATCATGGTTCTCAAATGTGTTTTTGATTGCCATACCTAAAATCTCCTGCGTTGGTAAATCGGGTGGTCCATCTGTGAAAAAGACGCATACTGAGCTCATCTGGCGTCCAGCATCGTGTTGATGGCCGTGAGCATAGACCAGAACGCACCCGTCTGAGGAAACATTGAGATTTCCAAAGTCAAAAGGCTCCAGTGATGAATTTGACAAATGTATCTGGTCAAAGGAACTCGATGTATGCAAAAATGGCTCCTGGGGTTCGAGTTGTCCTTTCTTGAAATGGTTGTAAATGTAATGGACGATATCCCTAGGAATTGCATTGCTGGCCACCAAACGAATCTGAGATCCCCGGCCATCTACCCTCAAGCAAATTCGTCGGATGGCAGCGAAGAGGGTATGCCTCATATTTCCCGCATGAAGTTTAGCGATCATATTCTTCAGCACTTCGATTTCACATTCCTTTCCCACCAAAGGCGGTTGAGAAGATGCTCGCCGTCGGCTGTACATAGAGGCCGTAACGAGATGCTCAAATGCGTCTTCAGCGATGGCGATCACGGTCAATTCCCGAACCTGCGCCCAGTTCGGCAGTAGAAATGAGGCATATGTCACTACAGCATAGAATTTGATTTGATCGAGATGATGTGATCGTGGCATCCGAGAACGTCCAGTCCACTCCTCCTCAATCATACTCAGACAGGCCCAACTTATCAATAGAGGAACCTCTTGCAACTTTGTGATAATTTGTCTGGCGAGGATTTGCCTAGCTTGATCTTGAGTTGATTGTAGCATTGTCGTCACATTGTCCCTTGTCACGAAAAAGCAACGATATTGACTCTCGACAAAGGTGGCATGTCGAATGATCCCCCATTTGCTGTCCAGTGCTTCAAAATCCTTGAGACCCTGATGGTAGCTGTCCTGGGTGCTTCCATGGTCCTCATCTGACATGGTAGGATGCATTGACGTCAATGTGGAAAGTATGTCAGTGTCTGGATGAATCATGCTTGCACAATCATTCTGCCCTGATGCTACGATCCTGAGTTTGCTCAATATGTCCTCGCGATAAATGTCACGAGCCCACTCAAACACGTAATCGACAATCAGCAGAAGCTGCAATGCCCCGTTTTTCGATGTAATTGAGCCTCTCCATAGGTCAAAAATTTGCTGGGAGGAAGTTAGCATGCGCCATCTTTACTCTGGGGACCATCTCTTAGAATGAGAGAATCAGGTGAAACAAACATATTCAGTAGTACCAACAGTCCCAGGTTTCTCGGCTGCATCATTATATACGCATGCTGCGGAGACTCGCCAATCTTCTCCTCTATTCATTAATAGCCAGACTAGTGGATCAGCTTGGCGCTTCGCGTGCGGCTCAGTCATATTCTTCAACGACTCTTGCGTGCATAACAGGGTCCGCACCGGAAACGCGGATTGCAATTGAATGGAATGCCAGTCACTATCGGCTGCCTTCGCTGACTTTGCCTCGAGAAGAAGAAATGGGAACACCACTGGGTCTCCTTCTTCACTAAGCGGAGGCTCTCCCAGGGACTCATGAACAAGTATATCCTGACCATCCTCCGGTCTACCTATACAGGCCGTGTCGTTCAAGAGGTTTTCAATGTTTCGAGTCTGTCGAAGTCCGTAAATTGCATCCGGTTTTGTCGCTCTCGGTAGTTCTTGCTGGATAGTTGAATCGTGGTGTACCATTTCATCCTCCCGGTGGCCAAAAATCCGATTCAGCCCGACAGCTTCCATTCTGCGTGGCCTGTTAGTGCTGGTAACTAGCGGGTGATATGTTCTCGATTCGTAACTCACAAATCCCCAAGCCTGAAGTCTCGCGAACAGCGACATGGTTCTCGTTTATTTTGCCGAGCACGCAGGGCTTCTGTCATAATCGAGTTCCCCTCACTTGTGGCTTCGATTTCCGAACGCCATACTCTCTTCCGACAAAACTTGCTAGGGTTCAAAGTGAGCCATTTTGTTAAGATCGCTAGAATTAGAATTCCTACCATACGACTTCTGAAGTAAGTCGGGCCAAGGCGTAGGGTTCGCACGCAAACCGCCAGGTCGATTCATTTCGACTCACACAGCGCTTAGCGCGCTCAGAGAGTTCCTCAGCGTGGTTCTTTATTTCTGCAGTCCATGGTGCATCTTCAATAGCTATTGCACAAGCCGCGTAGGTGTCGAACTGCCTCTTGCTTAACTCATCAACCGCGGTGAACGTTGGACGATGGCTGTCGGGCCATTCATGGCTTGGCACTTCTCCGCGGAATTCAATCCTGTACTTCCGTCTCAGTTTTTCAACCTTCTTCCTTTCTTTAGCTGTGAAGGGCATGGCTAAAGTATAGGTGTGAGAGTTGTGCAGTGTGGTCTGGAGTCATGAAAGAGTAATGCCATGGGTATTCTGACAGTCATGTAGATATAAATACCAAGAGGTCCAGCGCTGACATAATGTTGTTGACTTGAGCCTGTGGAGATCCGCAGGTGGAATTTCATCTTTGCGGCCTCCATTCCTGGTTTCTGGGCGGTGATAGACCAATGATACTGTTGTAGCTGCGCCACAGTGCAGATGCTCTTCGAGGCGCAGTGAGTCCAACGTCTTTGGGTCTGGTCAATGAGAGGAGGTGACTGAGCTGGCTTTGCCTTTTCCAATTGGATAAGTACGCAAGGCGCCGGTGGCTTGCATCCACGCTGATCAACCCTCACCAATCGGTTATCGATACATAAGTACGTCAGAGCGAAAAAGTAGCCGCCTAGGTACTTCTATAGGGAGGATGATAGGGTCTAAAGGCACCTCGGCGATTCTGTAACGCAGGGGCGAGAACGTTTGGATGGGGGGCGGCGGGGGAGGGGGCTGACGGGTAAAGAAAGTAACTCGGCGGTGAACAAGGCATACTCCAGGATATGGTAGAAATGTAGGTGGAGATGGAGGTGGGGACGGTGGGGATGGACGGGCTGTAAACACGGTTAGTCAGCTGCACCCCCTCGCCCCTGGAGTTTTCCAGGACTCCAATCTCTCAACTTCCCAGGTCGAAGCTAAACACTCTCCATTCTCCATCATGGCTAGAACAGCCCAGAATGTACCTCCCAGTCGCCCCCATGAGTGGCGCCAGCGAGAGTACCTAGACCATCAAGGCAACCCTGTTATCCTCGGCAAAGTGTCAGGGGACGACGACTCATTCGATGCAGAAGAGAAACATACAATTCAAATTTACAGCAAAACTACCATACAGCCTGCGGACTTTACAGACCTCTACCGATATCTCAAGCCTATCTCAGAGGACCCCATCTTCCTCGAGATCTACACACCTAATCAGGATGATGCATTTGCCTGTGTTGAGCATCAACGCCGCGAGATCGCTTACCGCAAGCGTTTATATGCGGATACCGACCAGCCATCTGGCCCTTTACCTCCATTGATTCCAACATTTAGAATTAGTGGATCATTCAGTCGCTCCCAGCCAAATTTTGACACGGGTTCCTGCCTTCTCTTGACCTCGGATAGCTACCAGGCTGGCTGGGATAGCAAAAAAAGAGACGAAATTGGTACAGGCCCGCTCTGGATCGACTTCACACGTAAATTTTCAAATCAAATACGAGAGATTGATTTGGCCGCCCGTGTTGAATTCGATGAGCTGGATGATATACCATTCTTTGCTGAATACGGGACTGGAGTGTTTCCCGAGGCTACTGAGGTCACTGTGAAACTGAAGAACGACCAAACAGCTATGGATCAATATATAGAATCTATGCTTGACTATTTACAAAAGAGAGATGCTAGTGGATGGGAACTCGACTATGGAACCGACGAACTAGTTTCCGTGCAGACAACCTGGGATTCGCAACAGGTTAAGGAAATTCTTAACGAGCAACGTACTAAAGATCTTAGATCTATGGATCCGGATACTCTATCCCTTTCTAGAGGTCCTCGCGATACAGAAGTCACTATCAAAAACCACTCTGGTGTGGAGAGCGATCTTCAGTACGTGATCTACGTCCAATTTCTGGCGGACATTCTAGACCCGGCCCTATTAGAAACCACTGCCCGCCTATTCACAGCGCACGTCATTTCCAAGCTTGGCTCTAACAAGACGGTGCGGTTCGACTTTAAAATTCCCGGCTTAAGCTTGTCATCTATCCTATCATTCCCTAATGACCTTCCCGTGGGCGCCTTACACAGTCCGGAGGACGGATCAGAGCGCCAACGAATCCTACCCTTACGAAGGCATGATATAGGCATCCTTCCTGACACCACATGCGAACAGTTCGCCGTGGTTCTAGATAAGCCGGCATTTGTTACAGAGCCAGGTGTACTTTTCTTCATGAATAACTTGAAACCAAAAGACTTCATCGACCATAGATACCCTGTGGCTGAGGTTCGCCGCAGCGCAGGCATGTTTGAGGTTGTAAGGAGACTTGCTATGCTGGGGATAGAGGAGAAACTTGGAAATAGTCCTAATAGAGATGTCACGAAAGAAGAATGTCTGGCTCTCCTAGGTCTTTCTCTAGCGCAATACCAGGATGCAGTGTTTGAAGCGGAACAGAATTGAGGGCCAACTATCGCGAGACCTCCTAGTTCCTATACGTGAAGGTTCTAAATCGACGCTCCCTTGACACCTAGTTCAGCAGAATGGCGTAAAAGGAAAAGAACAAAATAAAATAATTCCCTTCTCATAAATTGAAATGCTTTGTTCGAATCCTATTGCAACTGCTAACTTATTTATAACCTTTCTCGAACCAAGTTCTTCAGGGGCTTCAGGGCGTTCAGTTGAAGGACTGAAGGGATTGAAGTGGTAGGGCGGCAAGAACGAATCAAAAAAAATGGGTGAACAAAAACATACAACAGTGAGAATTCGCTGGTAGTCACCCATGCAACTACTAACTCACCGGCGCGTGACTTATGTGCGGCTAGTAGTTGGGTCGGCGTCGCCGGGGTGAGTTTAGGGTGAGCGCTGCCTTAGCGTGGCGCGACCAGGGGTGAGAAGGGTGGGTGCACAATATAGAAGGAGAGGGTGATTTTCACCCTAGGTCGCGCGACCGTCACTTTTGGTGGTGGCAGCAAACGGCATATGTACGCAGATCGGATGGTAGTCATGGCTCAGTTGGAGGTAGATGGGTTGCAGGTGGAAGATTCCAGGTTGTGTCAGAGCCAGCTGGAAATGCTACTGAAGTCCCATCGTGAAGAGTGAAATCTCCAACCGGGAATTGTATGATACGCGGGCGGAAGTCGCCGACTGGCACTTACAAGGCCCTCGTTATTGCGATGCTGACCAGGAGAAACTCTCCGTTTTGGACTTTCCTAGGGCGAGATTATACGCTCTAAACGCGCCCCCAGCACGAACAACAGAGATGTTGGCACCCTAGAAGATATTCACTACTCCGGCCGGCCGGATGATCATGGAAGACCGTTGCCCATCGTGGTTATACCCTATTACTGTGGGCGTTACCACTGTCTGGGAACGCTGGGACAGTATGCGGCCATCATAAGGCGTCGGAGGACCTAAAAGGCGTGCAGGATAAAGTGATCAAAGATCTGATTGCAAGTAATATTTTTAAAGGCCATGCGCACACGTTATTCCTCTCTCCGGTCTTGTAGATCGAATCCAAAACGTCCATCCTCAATCTTCTATTTCCAAATGCCCCTACGACTTGTCTCCACACGTAAAGTCTCTTTACTGGTTCTTCGAATATCCATTCCGCATCAGAGGTCCACCCATGACCGAATCCCAGTGGTGATAGGAGAACATCTGGTCGTTCGAGAGATTGATGTCGGCTTTGCCCCGCCGGTAAACAGACTCATCGTAAGCTCGAATGTTCGTTTTCAAATCCTTGTTCTCATAGCAGACACCTTTGATAGCATCGACATAGAGACTGGCGTCTTCGAGTGCATTGTTCAGGCCCTGTGCGCGGACTACAATATGAATTGGGTTTTAGTCAATCGCGTTTGCAGAAATTTGCAGTACTTACAAGGAACCATAGGGTGCGCTGCGTCCCCAGCTAGGGTTACTCGACCATCGTGGTTATTCCAAGGGGCAATGTTCCCCCAGTAGTGGAACTAGACGTCGTTAGTCGAGAAATGTAGAGAATGTCTTCGAGACGAATCTCACCGATTCCCCCCCAACATCAATATCATCCGCCAGCCACGCCGCGACCGATCTGTATGGCTCACAGTAAGTTGAGAGGTAAGATCTGAAAAGATGTCTACGCTCTCCTTGAGAGGTGGGAGGGTTCTCGTCAGTCCAAATTGAGAGAGTGAACTGAAAGACCCACGTCTCCGGGCTTTCAGGATTCACAATGTCGGCAACTGAAGTGGGTTAGTAGAGAGCCGCAAGAGTCAAGGCTTTAAAGACAGACCTGTCGAAAAGATATTGGTGTTTTGATAAGGGTGGGGACTCAGCTGCAAGTAGAGAATTAGCATCTTTCTCAAGCCGTTGGAAAAGGTAGCTCGGAAAGCTCACTTGGACGATCGGGTGGCCCATACTTCGTATGTACAATGCTTGCTCTCTGGTAAAGGTTGGAAAGGCACTCTAGTGTCATTAATCGGTGAGTGAGTTTTAATATCGAGTTGGTATTTGGTAACAAGATGCCATATAGGGCCTTACCAAGATCATGATATTTGCTTTGTCAAGCTTGCCATTTATCTCGTCAACCAGTTGGCTGCGGACGACACTCCGAGCTAAGAAGCTTTGTAAGTTGCAAGGTTGCAAGAGACTTAAGGTCTAGCTTACCGCCATCGGCACCGATGAGAACCGTCCCATCAACGACCATTTCACCACCGTTGAAAATGGCTGTGATTCCATTAGAGCCAACTTGGATATCTGTCAAGGCCTGACCGTAATGGACATCGATATCCACATTGAAGAGATCGCGTAGCTTGCCCCTCACGATCCGCTTAGGACTCGGCATAGGAATATTTGCTAGTAGTTCCCCGGAGCGTCCGTTTATGACTGGGATATTTCCAACTACCTTCGGGTCTTGTTCCTCCCACGGATTGCTCTCCACGGACTTCAGTTGCTCAAAGAGCTCGGGTGCAAGGCATGCTTGGATATGAGGAATTGACCAATGGAGAGCCATGGTCCATTTTCCTGATCGCTTTTTGTACTTTTCATTCGGATGTCGCTCATAAACTGCGGCAGAAATTCCGGCCTGATGAAACCAAAGGATCAGACATACTACCACCATGACAGGAACTGAGGATAGGCTTACCTTCTTCAATCCCTGTGCGATGAGAAGACCTGTCGCCCCTATGGAGTATTAGTCACATTGATAATGCTGCTTTCTTTATAATATTGACGAACCGGCCCCGACAATAATGACATGGAATCCAGACTCAGCCATTGAATCTCCTTGAGCTCTACGAAGATACCTTGGAACGAATTTTTATATCATTCACTCCGCGTGTTAGATCAGTGGGACGAACTTTGAGTATTATATATCCCCAACCTAAATATGCTATGTATCTTCCGGTGGCATAATTTACCGTATGCGGCAAACCGGTTCTTTGAGTTCACTAAACTGAAGAAGACTCAGTTCCACATTCATTATACCATCTGCCGATCAATCTCGGCCTTCGGGACGATCCAACCGCCGAAAGGCGAAACCAAGTGCTAAGTGGGCCTTCAAATACAGGTATCTAAACATACTAACTATATGGAGTAACTAGTTAGTACGTGTAAGCTCAGAAACTCGGCAACGTTCCGGCACGCATTCTTGAACAAATGGCAGGGGTACGTCATATTGTCGGATCGCGGGCTATCTGTGCGCACCATTACTGAACCAATTGAGATAGTTGATTGAAGAACTTTCCGTAGGATCTCTGTTGAGAGGGGTCCGTCGGCCGAGAGACCATCGGCATGTTACGATACCAATCTCCCGAATTGGCCCGATTCACCATACAATTCATATGGTAGATTGGGTAGACTCTCAATCAGCCTGTCTTTGGCGGTAACCACCAGTCTTCAGGTCGTCAGATATCCCTATATATAAGCCGTGTGCTGTCCCTCTAGCTAGGAGATCAATTTGTTGATTCTTGGGACGATATATCTGCAGATAACACGCCCGATTTTCACGTTTTTGGCATATTCGACAAGAATCCACAGGGAACATTATGGCTCCAACAGCCTCCACGACATCATTGACTCTTCCATTGCAACCTGGCATCTTTTGTCATGGAGGGCACATTCCGAGCTCCGAGTTTCCTGAAGATAATCCCGCGATTGTATACATACTGAATCATTTCATGTTTAGTATCCGTGATCCGGCTCGTTCGCTTTATTTTTACACTTCTTTGATCGGTATGCGGACTGTTCTCACGTTCAATGGAGGGCCTTTCACCATCTACTATTTGGGATATGCTTCCTTTCTGACCATACAAAAGTACTGTTGGGTGGAACCCTGTCAAAACTCAGGGTTATGGTCGTAGAAACCCTTACCTGTGTCACTCATAATTAATCGAAGGGGACCATTTGGTGGTAGCGTCGTCGTCACTGGAGCAACAACGTAAGCCTAGCACACTATCTTTCCGGATGAGAATGGGTTTCAAATATCAATACTCACCTCTATATCTGGGGAATTTCTAAGACATCCTATCACTCGCGATGCTTAGGGTTTTAATCATCTTCACGCTGGTTCTATTCCTCACCACCTAAGTCAGAAAGGCATTGCCTGATACATCTGAAACCTCTCGGTCCAAGTCTATACTATGCTACCACCATTCACTATTAAAACCTCCCCCGTAATCCAAGTGCTATCCTTCCCCCACAACATGCTAACCGCCGCAGCAACATCATATGGCTCCCCAATCCTCTCAAAGGGATTCTGGCTTGTAATAATCTGGACTTGCTCATCGCTTATAGCGTTGCGGAACAAGTCAGTATTTGTAGCCCCCAGTGAGATGGCGTTGACCCGGATCCCTTCTCCTACGAGGTCCCGCGCTAGGACCCGGACCATCTGGTTCAAATCCCTCTTAGTCGACATATAAACAAGGAGTAGACCTTGATAGGCTTCCGCAAAGCCCATTATTGCATTAAATGCCAGTCTTGGCGTTCATAAAGCCGATAAATCATCAAAATAAATGACTTTTTTTTACACTTATTCTGGTCCATCTATTAAATATTGCTACACTATCGCTATAACAAGTAAGTAATATTATAAAACTACTCTAAATCTAAAGCTAATAGGCTTTAAATTCTATAGATTACTAGTAATCTTTATTATTAGAGTTTTAGAAGAAGAAAGCTCTAATAAAAAAGAGCGAGTTATTAGCTAATTAAAGGTAGTAATTAGATCTAGAAAGTAAATATAAAAATGACGGAGTGGGGTAAGGGTAATTCCGGCTGATACTAAATAATATAGGAGCACTATAATACTTTGTTTTCTTTATTTCTAACCGTCACTTTAGCTAGTCTTAGCTTCGTTTATACCTAAATTATTAGAGCCTAGGCTATATATATAAGGCTATAGTATACGTAAACAAGTACTTTTAAATTGTTTTAGCGATGTCCGTACCTCGCAACTACTAGATACTAACGAGCCTTATAGGTAGCGTCTATTAGCTTAATAGCATTATTTCTTTTTTTACTAGGCTTAACAATTCTTGCCTATATATAAAGTAACCTATAGACTTAAATCGCGACGGTATATACGTTCACTACTACACCGTTATATGCTACTCACGTGTTGTATAGCTTCAAATCGCTATAGTAAGCCTAAGAAAGGCGGTCGTTTCGTTTTGCCTTTAGCTAGCTCTAGAAAATAACGTGGATGTCTCGCTTCTATATAAACATATTTAATAATAAAAATAGGATATAACGTAGTTAGAGGGACGAGAGGTTCTACTAGAAAACCTAATCATACTATATATTAGTTCTCTGATCCACTTGTCTCCCTCACTCGAGACAGTTCTTACCCGGCCTTTTTGGAAATATTTTTGATGCTTTAAATTCAAGATGTTGTAACTGGATTATTGCTTAACCCTGATAGCGCTATAATATTTGAAAGGCGAGGCTGTTATTCGGTGATCAAGAGGATTCTCATTGTTTCCTTAAAGAGCATGCGAATATACTGTTATATTCGAAAACAAATCCCCTTGGTACACTCGCGGATTATTTCCCGAAACCTATTTTGAAACGCCCTGACCTACATTTGGGTTAGTTGTAGATCTCCCTTTTCTAAGAATAGACGCCGGTTATTATATGACGAATGATTGATTTAAAATACCGTAATTATAGGTAACTCTTGAAAAACGCGTGTAAACTCGATGCCCCTCTATCCCGCTATATGCCTACATTCGTCGTCATTAACCTACCATCTTGAGCGTTGCCTAAGGTGTTTCGCGCATCATGGCACCGAGACTCCCCCTCTCAAAGCTTCAATTTATTGATGATATGATACACAGTCGGTCACTTACCACGTCTCGAATGGCTGAAGAAGCTGAATGCAGTGAGCGAACGATCAAGAATGTTCGAAGAAACTTGCGGCTATTTGGGAGCGTCCACGCCCCTTTAAATCGAATCGGCCGGAGACGGATCATAACGCCATTGATGTTAGAAGCGTTGTGCGATCACCTGCTCGAAAAGCCAGGCCTCTACTTAGATGAGATGGTTGTCTTTCTCTAGGATGAATTCCAGACGGTAGCAACGACATCCAGTATTAGGAGGGCCCTCGTCTCTAAAGGTTGGTCCAAAAAGAAAGCTCGACAGATAGCCAGAGAGCAAAACGCCGACCTGCAAGAATATTATTTGCACAATCTATCGGACTTTCAGTCGTATCATCTGGTATACGTCGATGAGTCAGGATGTGATAAACGGGCAGGTTTCAGGCGGACAGGTTGGCCACCGATTGGCGAGGCGCCCGTGCAAGTGTCACAATTCCACCGCGACCAGCGATATCAGATACTGCCAGCATATGCCCAAGATGGAATTGTCTTCTCTCGTGTGTTCCGCGGCTCAACTGACGCCATTTTGTTTGAGGATTTTATTGCTGAGCTTCTTCGGCACTGCGGAAGATGGCCGGAGCCCAACTCTGTTCTAGTCATGGACAATGCATCGTTTCACCATTCCGAGAAGATTACGCAGATGTGTGCCGACGCGGGAGTGAAGTTGCTTTATCTTCCACCTTACTCACCGGACCTGAACCCGATTGAAGAATTCTTCGCCGAGCTTAAGGGCTTTATCAAACGTAGCTGGAGCTTTTACGAGGAAAATCCCGACCAAGGTTTTGATACCTTCCTTGGATGGTGCGTTGATACAGTCGGTGCAAAAGAAGAAAGTGCCAGTGGCCATTTTCGACACGCGGGGTTACATATCGAAGAACCCTAAGGAATTTGCTGCTAGACTCAATTGAGAATGAATTTACCGTGCACACTGTCGAATTGTTTAAGACTTTCTCGGACCCTGTCATAAATGCCCTAACTTATCTGAGTTTACTCTCTCAAGTGCCGTCTATGATGGTGGTATCTGTGAATGATCGTTCCCAACGTGCTGCTAATCTGTAGGAGTGGCCATGCCATCGCCCACTTCCATTTTTCAGGTACAAGGGTCATAATGCCCAGTACATATTAAGTAGCAACTCCTCGCATTTACCATACCTCGTCCAAAGTTGCAGTCGGCCCACGGAAGTATGCTTTTCGATGTACTCTGGAGAAAATGGGTATTCAAGGCAATGGTCGTCTGACAGCAGGCACATACTATACCCAGATTCATTAGGTGGGTTTTAGGATCGCGTTTGTTAAGATCACTTACTGGATAAATCTGGACCTTTTCAAGATCCCACACCCCACTTGAAGCGTAGATATCGTTACTGATAATTTCTCGAACTTCTTCGGCGTTCTCACCCGTGTATACAACTACACTGCCCAAAAACTGCGCTTTTTCCCCTTCCTGTGGATGTTCTGCGAAAATTGCACCTATGGAGCGCCCAATAAAGTCAGTGAGTTCTTGAGAATACTTTAAATGCGTTGCACTGACCTCCATCAACAAGCTTGCCTCCGGCAATTAAAGGCTGGATGCCTTCATAGTGATAACTTATGACCAAAGCTAAGCGTCATGAATGTGGAATAGGAGCTTTACTCCTACCTTTTGACCTTTTTTCTCAGCTCTAAAACATTGGGTCGATCAGGCATGATGCAAAGGAATTCTTTCTTCTTCCCTGCCGTCGCCATAGTCCTTAAGAGAACACTCCGGGCCGACTGTGTAGAGCGAAGGAGAGACCCAGTAGCGCGAGGTACAAAATGGTTTAGAAGCATTGTTCGAGATACACTGCGAGATGTGATACTGGTAGACCAATATTAGGCTTGTCGCAAGGCAATATATATGTAGCGGCCATCTCTGGTCTTCGTTTTGCCGTTCTGCGGTGAACAAATTCGGAGCACGCTCCCGATGCTACGAAGTAGCCCCATGTCATCATCCTGTGGCGTACTACCATGATTCTACCAGTAACCGGTAAACCCTGACTCGGGATATGCCGAAAATTACATTGAGTAAAAACATATACGACCGCCGAGAGCAACATTGTCAAACATAAGAACGAGGGCAGGAGGTTAAAAAGATGGCTGTATCTGGTCTTGCCTTAGGAGGGCTGAAAGTACGGAGGTCTTGATACCTGATCAGTGGAAACTGCGGAGATTAAGCTATTAAAATTTTTTGATTGATTGAGTGATCTATATGCAACTAACATCTAGTAATTCGGGGGAAGTTATTATACACAGATGAATTTACTTTAACTTGGCTGCATCCAATTCTGCCAGTAAGTCATTCTTAGGAACCTCGTTATCCCACTTGCCCCGTGGTCGCTCGAAGGTTGACACAACACGGCCATAGGATACACCACCAAGTTGTCCAATTGGTCGCAGCTTTTCCAGGTCGATATGGGTGTAATCCGCATCAGCCGTGCCCTCCTTAACCCAGAAACGAGTGGCTTTAATGAGGACAGTAGCAGCAAGGCTCATTCCAGGTTGTCGATGATCGGTGAATTCTTTAATGTCAATCACCTTGCCTTCAATGTTAAAGACTGACTCTTCAACACGTGAAGGCTTCACCGTTGTCGACGGCGCCTCGTGAAGACCCGAGACCTCCCACTCCGAAACACCGTATGGTGCGTCAATAGAAGTGGCATTGACGGCTTCGATCATATTCTCCGAGACAGTATTGATGACACATTCCCCAGTCTCTTTTAAGTTGCGGTATGTATCCTTGACGCGCCCGGGCCGCGAGGAGAATCCCACAATGAACATTGGTGGGTCATGATCAATGACTTGGAAGTAGCTAAAGGGCGAAAGGTTCTTCTGTCCTCGGCAATTAATGGTGCTCAGAAAGCCGACCGGTCGGGGGGCTATGCCTGAGACAAGCAGGCGATAGTTGTTGATCATGGGCCGATCCGGCGCATAGGGATCAATTTCATGATGCTTTTGAGCGAGACTCGCCCCATTATCGGGCACACCCTCCCCATATTTCCATTCAGGGTAAGGCGACTTGGTGACTTCAATAGGCTTCGCGTGATCGAAATCTGGGCGTTTGGCTTCCGTCTCTGCAAAATTGCCGAAATTTTGGACGATCTTGTAAGATTTCAGAGCTGCGATATTGTCGCTTTCGCTGGCGGTGGCAGCGGTCGCAGAAGAACTCATTTGAAAAGATTTTAATGATTGGTTTTGGATCCGATATCTCTGACTCAGATTGTAAAATCTGCGACAAAGATTAGCACGAGTGGTAATTTCGAGGAAGGTGTTGAAACGCCTACTGCCGGGATGGGAGGCGCCCGATCGCCTTCGCGAGAAACATCGTGTAGAAGAGGTCGAGTTGTAGCTGTCTGCTTGGGAATTTTGTACATGCGAAACGTGTTGAAAACGAAGATATAAAATGTTGATATAAAATAACGATCCCGTCGGATATGCCTCCCGACTATCGGCATTGGTTGCCGAGAAGCGGGATCGCCACCCGGCATCGTTTCGAGGAATATCAAGTCAAGACTTCATTGGTCGAGGTGTCTCCACGAAGGAATATAATTGTACCGTACAAATGAGACGTCGTAGCCTACTAATTTGCACTCAGACTATGGGCTAGCAGCTTGGCGGTGGGGTCCCGAATTTTTATGGAAGAGTGCAAGATGGTGAAGCTGGCTTTTCACTTGTCTGTTTAAATGATTCTTGAATTAATCCGACAGAACGCCAATTGACGCTTCCAACACCCACCTTTGCCTTTCTGGTTATAGTATTTCATAGATAGGGATTTCTTTTTTCACGTTCTGGACCCAGCTCCGAATATCCTCCACGAAACGTCGGGCAATTCCCCGCTTAATTCCTTTGCTGATGAAGAATTCCGGGTCTTGATCTTTGTAGACCTGCTCTAGGTCAAGCCCATCTTCAAGCATCACATCACATGCTTGTCGAAATGCAGCTTTGAGGGAGTCGTTGGTGACATTTGACACCTGCCACTCACCATACTCCTTGACAGCCACGTCTCTTGGCCCGGGAATGTCCAGTGGGCTCATACTCTTCGAGTCAACAACCTCGTTGGCACTTGAGATGCCCAATCCAGAGGCGAGAGACTGCGAGGGCAGAACATTGATGTTGATAGGAGGATAGGGTATTCCTGATCCAAGGGAGTTGCCTCCCTTGCGCTTGTCTCTTTCGAGCCTCTGTTGCTCTTCCATATATAATTCTTCACGGATTGCTTCGGGTACGTCCGCATGGGGCTCGAGAAGGCCACCCTTTTCCACGTGGGTCACTAGGCGCCTCATATGATATGTTTTGAGTTGGTAGTGCTTCTTTCCCATTGGGTCCAGCCAACAGTAAGGGCCTAGATGACACGCAGATGAATCGCATCGCATCAAATTATAGACGCTATCTAATAATGATTTTAGGGTCTTTATATTTCGACGCTTATAGGTATGCCGTTTCGAGAACTAGGAGGAGAGAAGAGGACGCCTTTTAACGATATTCGTAACCTAATTTTCACCGACCGAAAAAAACCGAGGTAGTTCTACGCTTTTTAAGCAAAAGATTCGCTATTTCTCGTACTATAGAAGGCTAAGGGGGCCCTCCGCGTCGATCTATAGAGAAGATCTATTTTTTAAGAGATTCCTCCTCAATTTCAGTTAATTTATGGTTATTAGCGCGTACTTTAGGACGAAAGGTATTACCGGTAAGGCGGCGTTATAAGGTCGAGCGAGGGACTTCGAATTAACGTGCTACTTCACGAATAGTAGCAATTCCTTTATTTTTAAAAGCTTAAATAGCTAATAAGATCCTACCCCTTATTTAGCTAAATTGCTAGAGCTTCGAGAGCGGATTGGTGGCATAGTGGGTGGTTGAATTAACTAAGTGCTAAATCATGGACGCGTTTTGGGTTGGGTGGCCTACTCGCTTGTGTGGCCCACTCGCTTGTGAAATACGTTATTGTATTAGCTCTATTATCAAGCTCCTACTCAAGCTCCTGCTTAAGCTGCTGCTCAATTAATGCCCCGATATCGAGGTCGTTCTCTAGAAAGTCTGCCATACGGAGTGTACTTCGAATCTGGGATAAAAGACGAGAACTACCCTAGCCTGACCTATGGGACTGTGCTATTATATAATGCGCTAGTAATTTATTATCTCTATTCGCTTGAATTAATTTCATATACCAAGAGATTCAGGGCCAATCCCAAAGTTCATCATTGCAACGAAAGGCCTCCCGAGACAGTGTAAGGTCATAGGCGCTTTATGACGTGTGAAGGGACAGCCAGATCTTACAAAGCCTCGGCAGTCGAGGTCCCCATGCGTCCCTCCTCAGCAATTTTCTCCTTGTTCATGGTGTCAACGGTGTCAGAGCGGGTATCGCTGGGGGGAGAGGAGCGTTTCTCCACAATGCTGGTCTCGTCCGAATTCGTCGTGTCGGCAGCATCTAAGAATTGTCAGCGTGTATTCGTCACGAAAACAATCAATCACGTTCAAATGACCACAAGACTTACCAGGTTGAGGCTCCTTGGGCGGGGGGCAGTAAAAGCCAACAGCGAGGCAGATAATCATAAGAATAATCTCCTCGAGGACGCCCATGCAGAGATTGACGGTGGGGTTGGGCTCAAACAGGTTGAACCGCGCGATGGTCGTGTAGTCACCCAAGCAGCCGTAGACGGTGCGCACGATGAGCAGTGGCGCACAGGCGTAGACTGAGTACAGGATGATCTTCTCGTTGCGAGGCATCTCGTTGCGGTAGATGGTCAGGTACCCCAGAATGACCAGCAGGAGACCCAAGCAGCCGACGAACATGCCCAATGCGGCTTGGAGCATGGGGGGGATGATGTAGCTGTCGAGGGCCTTGATAGCGCCGGCGATACCAAGGGCCAGCCCGACCAAGCTGACGATGCTGACAAAGATGAAGATCCATTTGGAGAGCTTGTTGATCGAGGCGTTTCTGAACAAGACATGCCTACGTCAGTCTCGAGTCACGCGTAGGTGGATATCAGGTTGCAACTTACACTCTTTGCAGCAAACCCACGGCAGCCAGTGTTAGGGGAGCGATGCCCAACAAGTCGCATGTGATTTTTGTGGTGACAACATTGATCGAGTCGTGAGTGATGGTGATGAGCTGGCATATAGCGCCAGCGATTCGGAGACAGGCGAGGATAATGAGGAATCTCCAACATGATGCCACGGCCTTCATTCCTTGCTGGTAACACAAAAGAATGGCGAGGAAGAGGCAGGGCACGAAGACGATGAGCTGCAACAACGCGACACCATCTTCATAGCTAAACGTCATCTTGGATCGAGAGGGGCCGGAGCGGCGAATATGGCGGGCAGTTGTCTTGCTGATGGCGGATTGATTGGCAATCTAGATTACAAGGTCAGGGCAGGGAGGGATTGAAGGCCCTGGAAAACCGGTATGATCGGATGAAACAAGTATGAAGGATAGGGCGAGAGTTGGGAGTTCATTCGAACACCAGCTCTTGCCTTGGAGGAGAAAACGATACGAGGGTAATAAATGGAACAAACGTCCAGGCGTAAAATAAGAGAGCGGCCTCCCGTGGTGGAGCAGGTGTACGATGAAAAGATTGCAATGGGTTCGGGCTGTGTGCACTTGAACACATAGACGAACGAGGGATTCAATGACAACTTGAGGGTTTCGGGCATCTCCATGTGGAACAACTAACATCGAGCATACCTCATTAGGAATGGGTGATGATGTGGATACCTGTGGCTGCCGCTCTGCCAGCTAGTCTACTACTGGACTACCCGGTCATCGCCACAGAGATCTCCTTGGTGGCCGTAACTCTGCGTGGCAGCCTATCTTGCCCCGCTATTCCGTTTCCGTCACCATTTTGTTCCTTTTGCCGGACTCCGAGCTGTCCATTTTGGGTACCATTTCCCAAGAGTTGCCGTCGCCTAACCTCACCAGCTGCCCACTAGCCCCCATTAGTGAGATTGATCGACGCAACCACCATCCTACTAGAAACACGTGCAATGTCCGTCTCCTTCCTTTGAACAGCCTACTTTACGCGTAGTTTCTGTAACAACCCTATTATTTTACTAGTGTCGACTGCCAGGGACCTCCGTTATCCACCCTACTTTGTCGTTTCCCAGCGGGACTAGCACTCTTCAAGATCGTTACTACATGCAGACAATGTCAGTCCGGAGGATCATGAGTTACGGTTTTGTTTCTACTTGTAGCAATCCCCCCAGCGGAGATCCGGGCGACATCTAGCCAGGAACACTGCTGACAACGTGATGGCATTCCGTCTATATAAAAGACAACAAGACGGGATGTCTGCTTTGTGGGGATGAACATGTCTTGAAGATCCATCATCTCGGCCTTCCATCGCCCTGGCCTTCTCATTCTTTACACATTTAGCCGGCTTTTGTTTTCCTTTCACGACCAAAAAACAAAAGACCAATCTATCACAATGGCCGAGACCGAGCAGCGTCAGCTCGCGTATTGGCTGGAGCAGCTCGAGGGAAGCCAGCCCGCCGAGCTGCTCTGCGACAAGCCCCGGTCGGCCATCTCCTCTGGGAAGGCGCAGGTCCACCACTTCGCCCTCGATGACCAGCTTTACCAGGAGCTCCAGGCCTTCTGCCAGACACACCAGGCCACTCCCTTTGTGGTGCTCCTCGCCGCTTTGAGGGCGACGCACTACCGCCTCACCGGTGTCGACGATGCCACCATTGGCACACCCATCCCCAGCAACACCAACCTCCTATGCGTTCGCACCACCGTCGAGCCAGAGGACTCGTTCCATGCTCTCGTCCAGCGCGTCCAGCAAACCAACAGCGCGGCCTCTAGCAACCAGGATGTCGCCTTCCAGAAGATCGTCTCGGAGCTGCGTCCCGGCGCCGCTGACCGGCCCCGTAACCCGCTCGTTCAGACGATATTTGCAGTTCACTCGTCAGAAGATGCCAATAGCCCACGGCTCGACGGTATAACGGTAGCCACGTCCAAATTTAACATTGAATTCCATCTCATCCAGGAGGCTCAGCGCATGAGCGGTCACATCATCTTCTCGGATGATCTGTTTGAAGCTTCGTCCATCTTCTTCGTCGAGTCCGTCTTCACTGAGGTCCTCGGCCGTGGCCTCAAGACACCCGAGGCCCTCGTCTCGAAATGCCTCTCACCCAGGGTCTCTCAGCACTGGCCGATATGGGCCTCACAGATGTTGCGCGCACCGATTACCCGCGCGACTCCAGCGTCGTCGAGCTCTTCCGGAGACAGGTCTCTCTCAGCCCCAACGCCGTTGCCGTCAAGAACGCATACTCCCATCGGCGTACCCATCAGCAACTCGGGCGCCTGCATCATGGACCCGGAGCAGCGCCTCGTGCCTCCTGGCGTCATGGGTGAGCTCATCGTCACTGGCGACGGTCTCGCCCGTGGATACACCAACGCGGGGCTCAACAAGAACCGCTTCGTGCATGTGGCCATCAACGGCGAGTCTGTCCGCGCCTACCGCACCGGTGACCGAGTGCGCCACCGCCCTTCGGACGGCATGATCGAGTTCTTTGGCCGTGTGGACTTCCAGGTCAAGATCCGTGGTCACCGCATTGAGCTGCCCGAGATCGAGCATGCTCTTCTGCGCAGCGAGTCTGTCAGCGATGCCGTGACTCTGGTGCACCAACCTGAGGGCGAGCCGGCGGCGCTTGTTAGCTTTGTCACTGTTCAAGGTGATATCGCGGATGCCGCTGCTCAGCAGGACTCTCAGGACCAGAAGGACACCGGCGACGACGGCCGACTCGAGAACCAGGTCGAGACTTGGAGGGATCTGTTCGAGAATGGCACCTATACCGACATCAACACAATCGACACCACCAAGGTCGGCAGAGACTTTATGGGTTGGACGTCCATGTACGACGGCGAGCTCATCGACACCGCCGAGATGAACGAGCGGCTGGATGACACCATACACCACATGAACCGCAATGGCGGACAGCCACGCAATGTCCTAGAGGTCGGAACCGGTACGGGTATGATCTTGTTCAATCTCATCGACAACCTTAACAGCTATGTCGGGCTTGATCCGTCTGCGTCTGCCGCTGCTTTCGTCAACAAGATGGCCCAAGCAAGGCCTGCCCTGGCTGACAAGGTCAACGTGCGCGTAGGCACCGCCATCGACGTCGACTCCCTGGGCGAGCTTAATCACCCTGACATGGTGGTGATTAACTCGGTAGCACAGTACTTCCCCACGCAAGAGTACATCTCCTCCGTAGTAGACAAGTTGCTAGCCATTGACGGCCTGGAGCGCATCTACTTTGGCGATATGCGCTCCTGGGCCATCTACCGCGACTTCTGCACTACCAGGGCCCTGCACCAACTAGGCTCCTCTGCCACCAAGGAAGCAGTGCGACACGAGCTGGCCGAGAAGGCTGAGGAGGAGGAGGAGGAGTTCCTCGCCGACCCGGCCTTTTTCACCAGCTTGATGAACCGCCTGCCAGAGATTGTCGAGCACGTCGAGATTCTTCCCAAGCGCATGAAGGCCGCCAACGAGCTGAGCTGCTACCGTTTCGCGGCCGTCATCCACAAGCGCCAGGCCGGTCAGCCCGAGACTATCCAGGAGATCAGCGAGGGCGCCTGGGTCGATTTCAAGGCCAAGCAGCTGGATCGTGCTGGCTTGTTAGGCCTCCTGCAGGCGTCCTCGGCCGCTTCCACAGTTGCCGTGAGCAACGTGCCCTACAGCAAGACCATTCTCGAGCGCCACATCGTCGACTCGCTTGACGACGAGACCGAGGAGGGAGCCGACTGGTTCTTGTCACAGCGTGAGGCTGCCGAGCGCTGCCCAGACCTGTCAGCTTTGGACCTGGCTGAGCTGGCTGAACAGGCTGGCTTCAAAGTCGAGCTGAGCTGGGCGCGCCAGCCTTCCCTTCGCGGCGGCATGGACGCCGTCTTCCACCGCGTCGAGGGTCTGCGCCCCTTGTTCCGCTTCCCGACTGAGCACGAGTGCCGGTCCAACGAGTCTCTGACGAACAGTCCCCAGCGCCGTCAAGAGGCCCAGGTGGTCGAGGCTCTGCTCAAGACAGCGCTGCAAGCCTCGCTGCCCAAGTACATGATCCCTGCACGCATCGCCGTGCTGGACAAGATGCCCATCAATGCCAACGGCAAGGTGGACCTCAAGCAGCTGGCCAGACTAGCGAGCGTGTTCGCCAAGGCGACCAAGGGCTCTCGCCAGATCGTGGAGCCGCGCACAGACCTGGAGCGTTCCGTGTGCGAGGAGCTCTCCAGTGTGCTCAACATCGATGCCGTCGGCATCACCGACAACTTCTTCGACCTTGGCGGCCACTCGCTCATGGCCCCGCGTGTTGCCGCGCGCATCAACCAGCGCCTGAATGCAACTATCCTCCTGCGTGACGTGTTCGCCCACCCTGTGGTTACTGACCTGGCCAAGAAGGTTGGCGAGTCGCTGGGCGATTCGCGCCAGGACAAGGAGGAGCTGCTGACCATGTCGCTGGCTACCAAGCTGCGACACTTCAACTTTGTTGCCCGTCCGCAGTGCGTCAAGTCGCTAGGCATCGCCAGTGAGGACATCGAGGAGGTTCTGCCCGCCACCGGTGTCCAGACCCGCATGCTCGTCTTCGTCGAGGCCGAGGAGATGAACATCACCAAGCCCCCTGCATCGAGCACTTTGTTTACCACGTGCCCGACGAGCTCGACCCCGCCCGCCTTAAGCAGGCCATCTTCGACGTCACCAAGCGCCACGACGCCTTCCGCACCGTCTGGGTGCAGGTTGAGCACCCCCTGAGCCCCTACGCCCAGTGCATCCTCAACCCTGCGCACCCCCGTGCCCAGCTGCCCATGGTCCACAGCGTCGTGCACGTCTACAGATGCCAATACGTAGTACTCCGTACGTACTCATGGTATCCGTACACCCATATTTTTTTAGTGACACGCTTTTTTCCTTTTTGTACTCGTGCAGGGATGCTACCTAACCAAAAGTTCCCCCCAATAAGCGAGACTACGACTTGCGAGACTTGGACATTTGCACAAACACTTGAAAAACTCTTCCACATGAGGCGTTTTGGTTTAACTTTTGATTTGTGAAAGGATATATACTTGTGTAACCCTATATGTACGGTGTATGCTCTCTATATGCAGTTTATCGCTATATGAAATATCTACATTTGAATGATGCTTCCATACTATCCACTCAATGGTGGACGGAGGTTGCTTGATTCAACAAAGTTGGCGAGATCGTCTGCCTGCGCAAGACCTGCTTGGCAGCTGATTCTGCGCAACTGGGCGGCAGTCCACGCACGGGTCTCGTGGCCGAGGTTGTGCATGCAGCCCACAGTGAGGAGAACCCAGCAGGCAAAGTAGCCGCCGACGGCCGAGCCGGCGTTGTTCTTGGAGCGCTCGTGCTGCTGCGCCTGCTTCTGCTGCTGCAGCTGCAGCTCCTGCGCCGGGGAAGTGGCGTAGCCCATGAGCTGGGGCACGGAGGCGAGTATCTCGTCGCGCAGGCGGACGATGTTCTGGGTGGCCTGGTGCAGGCGGTCGACGTAGTTGTTGGCGAAGAACCAGTTGCTGTCGGTGTTAGCGCCGCGGAGGAGGAGGTGGCTGATGGCGTGGTTGGCGAGGATGCGGCAGACGCGCATGCTGTTCCAGACGGAGGCGATCCAGACATCGTGGTAGATGTGGTTGACGTCGCGCCGGCTGCGAGTCGGATCGTAGCTGTTGCTGGACGAGTTGGATTTGGCGGTGAACTGCCACTCGGAAGGGCACTTGGAGAATGTGCTCTCGAGGCGGTAGTCAATCTCGAACGCCTGTGAGAGGTAGCGCTCGAGGTGCTCAATGGAGATGTTGGCACCCTTGAGAGGACCGGAGAGCATGGAGGTAGAGGCGGGGGAAGAACCGGATGCAGTAGAGGGGGAGTTGGAGGAATCGGAAGGGGCGGCGAGACCGGAGGAGGAGGCGCCGGAAGAGTTGGGAAAGAACGAGTAGCCGCCCGGGGAAATGTGCTGGTAGAGATCCAGAAGCTCGACCATGCCGCTGCAGGCGACCCAGTAGGGATCCGAGACGCTGATGGCGTTGGCGGCCTCGATGCGCAGCATGCGTAGGCTCGAGGGCATGGGGGAGCCGGAGCGCAGGCAGTTGGTGAGGAGCTGGGAGAAGACATCCTTGAAGATCTGCAGGCCGGTCGAGGTGGAGAACTGGGAGCGGCCGCGCAGGTTGAGGAGCGAAGTGGCACCCTCAATGTGGTGCTTCCAGCCGTCGATAGAGGCCTTGCTGAACTCGTAGAGGGCGAGGACGAGGACAGAGACGATGGTGCTGTCGCGACGGGCGGCCTGGGGGTCGGCGAGGGCGAGATTGACACGCTCCATGGTGCGGGTGTACATCATCATGGACCGGGTCAACAGGTCGGCCTGGCTAGTGGTGCGAGCGAGCCCACTGAAGCCGACAGCCAGAATGGCACCCTCGAGCATGTCGTTGCCGCCGTCGTCTTGCGCCAGCATGGCCGGAACGTAGTCGAAGAAGCCGGAGGAGGGACCGGACTGCCGAACGACGTAGTGAGAGAGGAAGAAATCGAGACCGATGATGACGAGAGGCAAGGATAAGGGACGCGCTATGACCTCGGGCTGACTGCTGGTGAAGTTGTTGTGTCCTAGCCGTTGGCGGTCGCCGCGGTTGCTGCCGTCATCAGGGAACTGATCGAGAGCCACATCGTCGCCGCCTACGCTAGAAGCGCCGACACGGGAACGACGCCCAGACACGGATCCAGGACCGTCGCCCGATACCGGCATGGCGCTGGGCGAGGCATCCTGGTGGAGGGAGAAGAGCCCAGTCTCGTCCAGGTTGAAAGGGTCGTGGAAGCTCATCAACTCGGGCATGAAGCTGCCGCCGGCGAACATCCCGGCTCCGACATCGACGTCGCTCATGTCCAGCATGGTCTCATCGACGACATCGGAGGGGCGGCTGGCGTGATAGTCCGGTGCGGAGGTGTATTGTTGTTGGTTCTGTGCCTGTCGTGGGGCTGTGCGCTCCACCGAGAGGCGGTCGGTTGGGGTGGCCGTCAAAGTCCTCTTGGAGACTTTTGAGCGGGCGCGGTTGATGACCTGGGTGCTCTCATCGCGAAAGATGAGGCTTGAGGGATCTCTGTACCCGTGGCATTTCTGACCCGTGCGACAACATTGGCCGCATTCTGGGACTGCTTTGTCGCACTTTTTTTTTTTTGAGGTTAAATGTAAGCCAAAATGTCTTTTTTACTTTTATTTCCCTAATGATTTTCTGTCTTTTGTAAAGGGACGCAAATAGTAATGACTTACTCTTCTCTTCTTGGCGCGACAATTGTTGCAACTTGTTGAAGGACGACCGCAGTAGACCATGATCGTGGATGGATAGGCGGGGAAATCTGTTAGGCATCAAACCCAACGCACCGACTTAGTACGTGAATAAGAGAGTGGGGACTGTCCCGTTCCGCGTGGAGACACACGGTAAGGCTGGATAAGGTGAATGCCAAGTTCGGACAACGATACGGTAAAAAAGGACTAGAAAGAGAAAGCAAGACGACAAGACGATTTGAAGTGGGCGAAAACGTTGTGCCTAAATACACACACACACACACACACAATTTATTAGCGCCCGGCGGCTAAGCCGGAAGGACAGCTATCGTGATACAAGTTAGTATGACGTGTAAAGATGATCTATTGTTATCTATAGATCTGTTGCTAGCTAGCTAAGAGGGTCTTATCACGTGGAGTCTAAGCCACGTGGTGGCAACAGTTGCCACCACTCGAGAAAGTCTCGTCCCGAGACTATACAAATGCAATAGGAAATATATTAGTTCTCTAGCTTAGAGACCTATAAAAACCTAATAATGAATGTTATACGTTAGCTCTTCTTTATACTCGCTGGAGGCTAGATTGAAAAGTTTTGATATTATACTCGTTATAAGGCGTAAAGGTTTCGTTCGGAGATCATTATCGGAGCTTATCCCCGGCTATTTGTGCTTTAGTAGGGTTCTCCGTCTTATCCTTCTAGTCGTTCGTTATATAATTTTCGGCTAGCTTAGTCTCGTTAGCTTAGCTAGGAGGTATCGGTATTCTTCTAACGGGTAAGTAATATTCGAGGAATTACTATAGGGTATAGGCCTTGACATTTCCCATGGGCTAGTGGGAATTCCCATGGTGGGACTAGAACCCCCGTGGGAGTCCCATGGGAAATATGGGAATTCCCATGGGACTATAAACAATGCAAACAGGGAGAAACTCGTGACTTGCATAATTGTATGGTTTTATGCTAATTTTTTTAGGTATTTCATTTACAACGAAGTC